GGTTTTGCTGCTGAGAAATTGTATTCAGTAATCTCTGAGATTAATTAATAACAAGGAAGGGTCTGGAGAGTCAGTCCTGGGAAGAGCACCTGAGGGAGCTGGGAAAGGGGCTCAGCCTGGAGAAAAGGAGGCTCAGGGGGAACCTTCTGGCTCTGCACAACTCCCTGACAGGAGGGGACAGCTGGGGGGAACAAGGGAAGATGAGAAGAAATGGCCTCAAGGTGTGCCAGGGGAGGTTCAGCTTGGACATCAGGAGGAATTTCCTCATGGAAAGAGTGGTCAAGCATTGGAAGGGGCTGTCCAGGGAGGGGGTGGGATCTCCATCCCTAGAGAATGACTGGATGTGGCACTCAGTGCCATGGTCTGGGGACAAGGTGGGGATCAGACAGCTGGACTTGATGACCTTGGGGATCTTTCCCAACATTAATTACTCTCTGATTCTATGACCATCTATTGTTTCCAATACTCTTCAAAGCACTGTACAAAACCAGATTTACTTTGCAATCTTGCTATTTACCACACCACCGTTTGCATTTTACTTAAGATCACTGCAGAACTCTCACAGTTTGGGGAGCCTACAGCTTTCCACCACACCTTCACATGCACAAACACACCTGGCACATCAGCTCTTGTTCAACTGGTGCAGCACCCACACAGTTTCCCAGTCCTTTCCCATTTATGAGTCAAACATGCAGCCAAACTACAGATATTCAAATTTGGGCTGTGCAGATTGCAAAGCCTTCATGTCAGTGCTGGAGGAGCCTCTGACACAGGGTTTAGGTTTTTCCCTTGGCTCACAAATATCCCTTCAAGAGCAATATTTTGGGAGAACTACAGAGTCAATGACTTTAAATTCAACAAGACACATTTGTCCTTATTAAAATTTTTAGAAAGGACCACAAAGGTTTTCGGCTTAAAGTGGCTGAGAAGATGAAGCAACTAGAGTTCTACTCAACTTGAATCCAACCTTATCAGCTTTAACATTGCTAGCCCTCAATAAATCCTCATCTCTCTTGTCTTCACTGCTGTTTTAAATGCCTTTTTGAAATATCCCAAGGGAACCAGCACACAAAATCCCACCAAAACAAACCCTGAACCTGTCTTTCTCTTCCTTCTTCTTCCCCCACTTTATATACTGAGCCACAAGGTCTGGAACATCCCTCTGCAGCAGAGGCAAAGGCAGCAGTTGCTAAGGACAACAGCCTGCTGGGGACAGCAAAACAGCCATGGTCCTGCTGCCTGCTTCCAGCCCAGCCCTGGGAAGCCAGGATGGCAGCTGCTGCTGAGAAATGTAGGAAAGGGGCTTAGGGACAAGGAAATTCCTGCCATGATTGTGGCAGTGGCCACAGTCATCTCCACTCCTTACCTCTCCCCTCATCCCAAGGGTCTCTAGGGTTCCTCTGTGATCAAAACCAGCAATGGGAATACAAGCAGAAAGTTCATGTCTCCTGTGGAGGAGACTCAGGCAGTGCCCAGGGAAGAAGTTGTGCCTCCTGTGCAGGTGGAACCCCCTGGGCTCAGTCCCTGCCCGTGGCTCTGGTGCCATTGCTGGGCCCCCGGAGCAGAGCCTGGGCCCTGCTCGGAGCCCTCCCTGCACACAGGGACACCCAGGGCTGAGGGCCCCTCTCAGCTGGGGCTCCTCTCCAGCCTGGACAGCCCCAGCTCCCTCAGCCTTTCCCTGGCACAGATGCTCCAGGCCCTGAATCATCTCTGCAGCCTCCGCTGGCCCCGCTCCAGGAGCTCCCTGTCCCTCCTGTGCTGATGATCCCAGAGCTGGACACAGCTGCCCAGATGTGTCTCCAGGGCTGGGCAGAGAGGCAGGATCATTCCTGACCTGCTGGCACTGCTCTTCCCAATGAACCCCAGGATCACCCCTGACCTGCTGCTTGGAGCAAGAGGTAGGATTTTCAAATGCACTTGATATTGCTCCAACTCAGCTTCACTAAAGTCCTTAGAAAAAATTCCCAATGGCCATGGTGTGTTTAGGCATTTTCATAAATGCCACCTTCTATGAAAGTTCTGGATGTGTGAATTTATGGTGTCTCCTGAGTGTTTGGCTGCTTAGTTAAGTACTTATACTCCCATTATAGTTGTCTGAAGACACAGCAGTGAGGTTTCCAATTACTGACAGAAAGCATGGAAAGGGATGTAGGGGCACAGAGAATCACTTGGGTTGGAAGGGATCCTAAAGATCGTTTGCTTCCAAACCCTGCCATGGGCAGGGACACCTTCCACTATCCCAGGTTGCTCAGAGCCCCATCCAGCCTGGCCTTGGACACTGCCAGGGATGGGGCAGCCACAGCTGCTCTGGGAAACCTGTGCCAGGGCCTCAGCACCCTCACAGGGAACAATTTCTTCCCCGCCCCAAAAAAAATATTAATGGCAGCAATATTACTGAAGCAAGTAAAGAGGGTCAACATCCCATTTATCCTGTTTTCAGCTGTGAAAATAACGACACCCTTTACAGAAGTTACAACCATGTGAAATCAGGAACAGATCAGAGAAGCTCCTTGAAGATCTCAGAGTAAGCAGCTGCCCCATCTAGGTTCAATCTCCATCCCTGGAAGTGTCCAAGGCCAGGTTGGATGGGTCTCTGAACACCCTGGTCTAGTGGAAGGTGTCTGTCCATGCCAGGGGCACTGCAATGAGATGATCTGTAAGGTCTCTTCCAACCCAAGCCATTCTGTAATTCTATGATTCTAATTTCCCAGGCCTGCCTCACACCATCTGCTTGTGATTCCCTGCAGGAAAAAAATGGCCCTTTGCATTATCTGAAGATAAGTGAGTCTATCTAGAACTTTACCACTGATAAACACCCAACTGCATGCTGAGGAGAGAAAAATATTATTTCTCTTCCAGAGTCAGAGGAATTGAGGTACAGGAAAAATGAAATGTTTGATCCATCCCAGATCCTGGCCCAGACTGTGCCTGTGATCATCAGTCTGTCCACAGACCAGCATGGTTCTGTGGCACAGCCAACAGTCAGAACTCAAAAAACATTCAAATGAGAATTTTAGTTGCACTTCAAAACATTGAATTTTCAAGATAAACAGGTCTTGCTTCCCAATGATATAGTAAATAGACCCAAAAAATTCCTAAATTATAAAAAAAGTCTACTAAAGTACCCTGTACCATGCTGCCTAGTTGGCATCAGAAGACAAATGTGCTGATATATGAACACCAGCTGAGAATTTGGCTCCATTTGCCTGAAACCAAGTCTCTGTATCAGCAGGGCTGTTAAAACATTTCAGCCATCAAAAAAAAAAAAAAAAAAAAAAAAGCAGCTTCACGCATCATGATGGATAAAGACCTGGCAAGATTCCCTCTCCAAAAAACATAAGGTTTTTGTAAGACTCATGCATTGCTTGTAAGACCTCAGCACCTAAATGTGCTGTAGGACAGGAAAGAATTTGCAAGAGGATTCATCTGGGCCTTTTTACATATGCTTGCTTCTGAATCACCAATATATGACTAAATATAAACCATGAAGAGCTGTAATTGCTATTCTACATATCCTCATATCCCTCTGAAATACCATAAAGGAAGAAAAACTACCAAATCGTTTAGGAGGATTAGTTCCTAACAATGCCAGTGAAAATCTGCACAAAAAAACCCTAATCTTGCCAGATTCAAAGTGCAGCTTTGACTGCTCAGTACCAGTCCTTCATGCTTGGAGGGCTGACACAAACCTCTGAAAGAGATGGTGAACTCCTTCCACCTCCAGCATATTTTTCTTCTGTTTTAACACCTTGGTGCCTGAGGGGAACTCAGGGGATAGAAGAGAAAAACTTGCTTCAATTCCCTTCTTCTGAACTAGCTGTGAAAAGTGATGTCAGCCTCTTATCTCCATGGAGGGAGCATTCCAGGAATTTTCAATTCACCTGGCAGTTAAGTCAGCTCTGGGCTTTGTCAGACAGAAATATTTTTGCACACTTTTCATTAACAGGCAGCCTGCAAGGGAAGGGAGAGTCACAAACGAGGGATCTGCTCTGAATGTTTTGTGCCTGAGCCTGGAAAACAGGGATCAGATCAGCCAAGCCCAACACAGAGCCAGGTAACAGCAGGACCTGTCAGCATTTGGGTATTCCATGAGTCTTGTGCACAAACATTTTCCTGTATATTTTTTCATCCTCACTGCCCCTCTGTTTGTTACCATGTCCCAAGGGAGGAGAGGTCCCCAGCTGTGCCTGACATTATCCAGGTGTCAGGAGGAGATGAGGAATACTCAGAAAGATCTCCCTGTCTAAAAGGTTTAGGGAAAAGAAGGAAACCAATGGCTTTATACTGTCTGCCACCTCACTGCTCAGGCCCTGAGATATGAGGGACATCCAAAGGCCACGTGGCAGTACTGGGGACTGTCCCCTTGACTCCAAGCTCAGCATTTCATCACCTTCCTTCCTAAGTAATCTCTTAAGTATCAAAAAACCCACACAACCTTTTGATGCAATCACAACAAGCAGAAATGCCAGGGCCAGAAGAACCAGTGGGTGGCTTTTCTACACAGTTTCCATGATTGGGAATGGAGGATGGAGAGGAAAGCTGCATCAGCCTCCAGAACCCCTCCCAGCTGCAGCTGGCTTGATCAATATGTATTCAGACATCTTCTATGGGCAGGCTGATTAGTGGTTACTGTGCAAGGAACTCTCAGCTCATCTCCTCTGAAATCCCCTTAGCCAAGTGTTAGTGGCAGCTCACAGATCTGTACAGGTTTGGTTTTTGAAGAGCCAGGAAAAACTAAGGGGGGAGCTACAAGTCCTCTGCAGATCTCACCTCTTCCTTCCATTCTCAATTCACCTAGAAAATTTTAGTAATAAGTTTTTTGTAGTTTTAAATTTATATTTTTCTTATTACATAATCTCAGAGTAAAAAGATCCTAAAAGCTGACCAGATGAGTGGGAACAGGAGGAGCTCACAATTCAGAATGACATGTTCTGACAGCACTGGAAAAGCAGCTTGGTCTCATTAAAAAAAAAAAAACAAAAAAAACCAAACTTTCTCACCTGGGCAAGTGTTGCAACTGCAGAAAAGAACAACTGGCTTGGCTCAGCCATAGCCAAAGCACTGGAACATCCCTTCTGTCACTGGGAATACATGCTGTAGTATCCATGACGTTTGGGCTGTCATTCCATCTTTTCTGGAGCATTTGAGTGTCACCTAACTGAATTCAAGGAAGTATTGGAGCTGACACTGGACCCACACTGGTAATGAACAGGAAAAACCAATGCCTACCACTACATTGCTTAAAAATGAAAAGTTTATTAAAAATAAACTCCCCTAAACTCAGGATAATCCCCTCCCTTCCAAAAGAAAAGAAAACACAAATCCCAAATCCATGTTATATATCTTATTCCAAATCAAAGTTAGAAAAAAAAAAACCAAAAACAAAAAAACCCCAAACAAACAAAAAAGAAAAATCCAACAAAAAAAACAAACAAACAAACCAAAAAAGGGCAAAATTTTGTATTTTGCCTTCTTTACATGCATTTTCTTAAAAAAAAAAAAAGGGGGGCAAAAAAATTTTAGAATATTAAGAAAGGGATCGTGAACATTACAAAATTTTCCAAAAGTGCCTTCTGTAAAGATTACCAGAATGAACTGAAATGAAACTTCTCTCATAAATATTGCTGATTTTGAGGAAGAGGCACCTTTTGAGGGAAAAATGTCCTAGAGAGATGTTTGCAGTCCACTGCTGAAAACTATAGCAGATCATCAAATACCAGACTAATGTGGCAGTGAACATTCTCTAAAACGTTTCAGAAAGTCATTTCCAAGGACAGACTACAAAGATCAATTGCTTTGGCATAAGCATGAAAGGCCATAGTCTACAGTTCTCAGAGGAATGTGCCAGACAGTGCTATTTCTGACACGCTAAAATATGAGAATAATTCAGAGCCTGAGAACTACACACTGCTAAGGGTCCCTTCCAGCTTGGGCTGTTCCATGATTCTGTGAGTAAACTGAGATAGAAATAAATGCAACACTGTGTTCACAGTGCAAATCAAACACCGTGGCTTACTCTGTATTTCTTATAACTCCTTTCTCATGTCGCTTGTTGCCATAACTCACATGATGCCAAGTGCTTGGGACAGGTCCTTAAGACATTTTAGGGGCCACCAGACTTGTGTTCACCATCCTGCCAATGCCACTGATAGAGCACAAGTGGTGTCCACATCACATTTTGTGATGTGCATGGATATTCATGACATGTTTATTGCTTGGCTTTTCTTTTTTTCCTCATTGAATCACAAAATCACAGAATATGCTGAGTTGGGAGGGACCCACAAGGATCATTGAGTCCAGTTCCTGGCCCTGCACAGACACCCCAACAATCCCACCCTGTGCATCCCTGGGAGAGTTGTCCAAACACTCCTGGAGCTCTGCCAGCCTTGGGGCTGTGACCATTCCCTGGGGAGAACCTTCATGATATGGTTTACTGGGCATTGTGATGTTCCAATGGAGGCTGGACTTGATTATCTTAGAGTTATTTTCCAAACTTAATGATTCTGTGAGCAGTTGTTGAAGACAATGCATCACTGCTTATTTCTGCAACAAAGTACAGAATCACAGACTGGTTTGAATTGGAAAGGATCTTAAAGATCACCTCATTCCAACTCTCCTGCCAGAGGGGCAGGAACATCTTCCACCAGAGCAGGTTGCTCAAATCAGATAATCTAACTGAGCTGCAGCAGAGCTGATTCAAGGCTTTCCCCAAAGCAATGCACTGCTCCAATGATTCCAGGGAGCTCATGGCAGTCAGGAATGACCACAGATTCCAGGAAGGAGGAAGGTCAGCAAAGAGCTGGAGAGAAAGAAAGGACTGGACAAGGCGAGCAGCTATTCCAGGTTGAGGGAAAGTGCAGTGAAAAGAGTTTGGTGGGTTTTTTAAAGGGTGTGAATTTGCTCTCTCTCCCTCCTGGAGATTTATGGTGTCCCCTGCACCATTCTACCCCACTCCTAGGCTTTCCTTCTCTCTCCTCAGTCCCACTGAGGAAAAAACCTCCCAGGACTCACAGTTCCTCTCCTAGCTCTTCCTCATACCCACAAACCCCAAGTATTCAATAGTAAAATCACCAGCATTTTGTGCTTTGTAGGTAAACGTGCAGTATGGCAAACAATCTGGAGACACAGGAAATGTGGGGAGGTCTTACAATTTCTCATATTTTTCCTCTTTTGGTTATTTTGCCCCCAGTAGTTTCCTAACTGCAGATCTTGTCAGTCTTCTGCTGGCCTAGAAAAGTCAGGCTCTTCCAGCTTCCACTGGCAAAGCACTTTCTATCCACCATTCTTGATCATTCTTCTTGATCTTCTTCTGTGCATCCTGCTTGACCAAATTTAGGTCACCAACAACACACACAGTATTCCAGATGAGGCCTTGCAGAATTAACATTTCCCAGATGTTACTGAACATGGTTGTCCTGAGATTTTCCAAGACTTGCACCTCGATTTTTATGGCTGCATTGCTCTGGTGGCTCAGTTAGTGGCACTGGCACTCTGGCTGAGTGAAGGACAGGGAGCTGCTGGAGCCAGGACAGAGCAGGAACACCAAGGGATCAGAGGAATGGAGCAGCTCTGCTGGGAGGAAAGGCTCAGGGAACGGGGATTGTTCAGCCTGGAGAGGAGAAGGCTTTGGGGTGACCTCACTGTGGCCTTCCAGTGCCTGAAGGGAGCCACAGGAAAGATGGAGAGAGACTCTTGACAAGGGCCTGGAGTGACAGGACAAGGGGCAATGGCTTCACACTGACACAGAGCAGGGTTAGATTGGATATTGGGAAGAAATTGTTCCCTGTGAGGCCCTGGCACAGGTTTCCCAGAGAAGCTGTGGCTGCTCCATCCCTGGAGATATTCAAGATCAGGCTGGATGGGGCTCTGAGCAACCTGGGATAGTGGAAGGTGTCCCTGCCCAAGGCAGGAGGTTGGAATGAGATGATCTTTAAGGTCCCTTCTAACCCTGGCCATTCCATGATTCCACAACTATTCCTTCTATTCACTCTCATCTGTCCCATCTCCAGTGGTATTTTCCCTTACAGCAAACTGATGATTTTACACCAAGCTTTCTTTCCAGTTTCAGGGAAGGCAGGACTGAGATCAGAAGAGTTAGAGCAGGAAAGCCCCACTTTTTCCAACCTAGTACTCCCTGTAAATGGAGGCTTTGAAACTAGCAGATGTAGAGCCAACCTACCAGGACTGCAATGATTTTCACAGAGCCCTATCAGCAAAAAAATGTAGGAGGCGCAGAGCTTGTCTCCACATCTACCTCTGCCACCCTTCTGTTGTTCTATTCCTCAAGAATTGCAACTACATTTCTTCAGCTTGAAAAGCTCTGTCTCCTTGGGAAACACATCCAGGCAAGAGGAAGCTAAGTTGGAGAGTGGTCAGGAATCCAGAGCCAGCAAGAGCTCCATCCAGCACGAGGAATTTGGTGGCCATGCGTGTCCCAGGCCAGCCTGGCTCCTGCTCCAGCCAGGCACGTGAGTGGGGGTGTCAAGGACACAAAAATGCTGAGCACAGCACAGCAGACAGGCACTCGCCCTCACCTTATGGTGTGGCAGTGGCACACCTTCCCCAGAGCTCCAGAGCAGAGAGGCAGACAAAGAGACTGTGGTCCAATTCTGCTTTTGCTGGGGATAAATTTGGAGTCACTTCACTGACGTCAGTGGAGTTATTCCAGAACTGCACCAGTGTAAAAGAGGGCAGCATCTGCTTTCTGAAAATGGATGCCATCAAGCTAATTGAAAACAACAGATGCATCAAGGAGCAGCAAGAAGGGATGGTAATGTTCTAGTTTTCTTGTAAAATACCATGTAATTTCCCTCCAGAGAATGTAAGAGAATAAACCAATATGTACTCTAAAAGCTAAACATTTGTTGCTGTAAAATTATATACAACCTTTTAGGTGAATGGACCAATGTGAACCTACAACACCCTAAAGAGATCCAGCCTAGTCGTGTGCACTTACAACCTTCTTCTTTGGGCCTGATTCTTCTCTCTCACTCATTTGAATCAGGAGTCATACCATCCAGAATCCTAAGGAAACATTTATCTAACCTTGGGTAGAGAGCAGAATCGAGGCCCCTCATTTTGTTAAATAAACAATGGCTAGATTTGGTAATTAAATCGATAAATTTGTGACTTATGCCACTTTTGGATTAAGGGTGTTCCAAAATTTTATACCACTGAATAAATATCTTTATATTAATTTAGTGAAAATGAAGCCAAAGAAGGACTTGATGAATTTGCAATGATATTTTGTGTGAAGACAAAAGTTCCTGCTAATTCTTATCTCCAGTGAATAGTCAACACAGCTTCAGTATTTATTGTGACCACGGAAATTGATGAGCACTTTCCCTCCTACAAATCCTTTCTGTCCTTTGACTAAGAAGTTTTACACAGCAAAGCTCAATTATTTCTTGGCCCCCTCTTATTAATTAGCACTACAGACAACCTGGATATTTCCAGTGATGAGGGTTCATCAGTGAATGCTGTAGGACTGTAAAACCCACACTGACCCCAGCTATAAGTATGTTATGATATTCAAACTCTTTGTGCCAGCCAACAAGCCCCAGACAGACTTCCCTGGAGCAAGGGAAAACCCACCCAAAGAGGGAAAAGCACATGGAATTAACATGCACTAACAGCATATGCTGCACTGTCAATTAGCACAGTCCCTGCCTGCTTTCCCCAGAAACATTTTTCTGGATTTATCTCCCTGGGTAGGGTCTTGTGTTATGTAGGACCCCAGCCTGAACAAGAAGAGCTCCTTGAACCTGGCAGGCAATTTCCTCAGGCACTGTCTTTGGTGGCAGCTAAGGACACACAGCATCCCCTGGTTCCTTTCATCAGGGGATTAAGTCTTTTCATCCTGCCAACACCTGCTCCCCTCCTTATGCCTAAAGCAGGTGCCTGCAATTCAGGCATTCTCCTGCAAACCTGCTGATAACATGGCTGCAAATGTCTTCAGAAGGGGATCTGTCTCTAGTGCAAGCTTCAAAGAGCAAGGATGAAGGGCTCAAGGCTGTGCTTTTGGTTACAGCAGCACAAACAGAGCTATCTTGTGCTCACAGGGCTGCCATGGAGGGCAGTATCTCCCAATTCCCCATGAATCTGTCCACATCTTTCCACCACTGAGAAATAAATGCATAAAATGCTGCTGCTCTTAATTTCTGTCAATATAAACTTAAAGTTAAGCTTAGTTCTGCTGAGTTTGGTAGGACTTACTTGGATTTGAGTCAGATGAGAGCTTTTGGGAAAGCTGTGGTTGACTCCTGCAGATCTTTCCCTGATGCAAACAGGACCTCAAGAAAAGAACAAACAAAAAGAAGCAGTTTAACAAACAGTACATATGCTTGGATTTGATGCAGAAGATTTAAGTTGGAGCATGATATAATCCAAGGTAGTTGTACTAAAAGGAGTTTTGCCAGCTTGAATCAGCAGATGGTGAGGATCTGGCTCATACTACATTTCTGTAGTTTATAATTATCTTTCTTTCTTCACCTAGAACCAGATTCTCCCTTTAGGCCACAAATCTTAATTAGGAAATCCTTCCTTATTAATTTCAAGAAACTCTTGGTCGTTAATTTCCCAGAACAAAAAGAAATCTTACCTATTTCTGCAACAGCAGCAGATGCTGGAGCTGTCTGTTCCTTTGCTTTTAGGGTTGATGCTGTTCTTTCCATCACCATGTGGAAGACACTCCAGTCCTTATCCTGTCTCCTGCTGCCCTGAATTTTCTTGACACTCACTCTTCTTTATCCTATAGGGACCTCTGAATGAGAGGACCCAGGAGAGAATACCAAGTCCAGTCACCTTCACCCCCGTGGCTGCTCTGGCAGTGATTTTTTATCCATGAAAGCTGGATCAAAAGGCCCAAACAGAAAATTACTCAAAAATCCTGAATTCCAACGTTTTCCAAGAAGGAGTAGGAGAGGAATTTCGTCTTGGAGGTAAGAGCAGGAATCCACCAGTAAAACACCACAGAACAGGTCTTCATGCCTTTCATGCTTCTAGTCCTTTGTGTGGATAAAAAATCTGTGTCCTCAATAAAATTCTTCTTTTCCTTCCTTCCTTCTTTCCCTGCCTCCAAGGAGATGATTTCTGACCTGCCCTGCTTTGATGCAAAACATCCTGTGGGAAAATTATCAGGGGAACAAACCATCACAAAGCAGGCATGGGATCTGGAAGGAGCAACAGTCTCTTCCACTGCAAAACTATTTCCTAGTGAGATTGCTGCAAGGGGAATTTCTGGGTCTTTAATACAATGCTTTAGTTTGTATTCCTTGTCACCAGGCACACAGATGACTCCACATTCACAGGCTGGCTGTTCCTCAGCTCCCTGGCTGAGTGCTCAGATTGTCCTTCGCACACTCTCCAGCTCTCTGTGTGCGAGGATGGACAAACAAAACCTCTTCCCATCCCCAGGTTTGCACTCCCTACTTTCAAAGGCTGGAGACTGCCCACCTGCAGTTGGACAGGGCAGCTGTACGTGATATAAGGTGATGGGATCAGCTCCAGTAAGCAAAGAAAACATCTGTAAAGATAAGGTGCTGATATCTGAACACAAAATATCCAGCGAGTGCTTTTGCTTGTAGCCACAGTCACAGCACGGAGAGAAACAGTCCGGGAGGTTGTTATGGAAACAAGTCCCTGGAGGTGCCTACTTGGCTTCACAGGGATGTGCTCTACCTTCAGAAGAAACAGATTTGCATTTTGAGCAGCCGAGGGGAGTGCTAAGGGCTGAGAACTTGAGGTAAGGTTTTTGAAAGCATCTCTGGGATTTGGTGGCATGAGACCTCTGGTAAAGTCAATGGCCTCGACGCCACTGTGTCATCTCAGCCACGTGAAAAAAAAAAAAAAATCTGAAGGCTCCTTAAAAAACCCAAATTCCACAAGTTCTGTAAGCATTACTGATGACTCTGGGACTTCACTGCTTTTCAGGAAGTGCTTAGAGAAGGATTTACATGCCCCAAATGGATCCCAAGGTTACAATTTCCACACTTCTCTTGGCATTCTGTATTTCTCTTGGAGCCAACACAGAAAACCCAGGGAGCAAACACCACTCCTACTTTACACATTTTCATGTGCACTTTTCTTTTCAGAACTGACAAACGTGTCTCACAAGAACTGCAAAGAGCTGCCTTGCTCTGCCTTGCAGAGCTTCCTTTGCACCTTGGGTAGGATCTGCAGGTAGATTCCCAAATCCACCTGGAAACTCACTGCTGGATCCCCACCTGGAAACTCACTGCTGGATCCACACCTGGAAACTCACTGCTGGATCCCCACCTGGAAACTCACTGCTGGATCCCCACCTGGAAACTCACTGCTGGATCCCACCCAAGGGCAGGACACCTCTTTCCAAGAGGATCTGTGTGACACACGCTGGGATTGTGCAAACAGTGATCTGCCTCACATCTCTTTCTCTTGCTGGAGTCTGTGCCCAGCTGTCTGTCATGCTGCTCAGGAGAAAAACCTGTTCTGGGCAGGGAGGGCTCCTGCCTGCCAGGGCCAGGCCCAGGGGGAGACACGGGCACAGGAATTTTCTGACGTAGGCTCAGCATGTCTCATGACTCCTCCTGAACTTGTGTTCAACCTGAGTTTTTTATATCTTACTTTGGGGGAGCTTTTATCAGCTGATAGACTCAGGCATAAAATATCCCCAAACATGGGCATTCTGCTGGAAGAGGGCAGCAGCCTCGAACTATTCCTCTTAAATAACAGCTTCTTTTGCTAGTCTCTAGCGACACAAAATTTAAAGAACAGTCCCTCTCTTGACCTCATAGTAAAGATTTCATTAAGGTGACCCCAAAATACAACTAAGAACACCATCAAGACTAAAACACACCGAGAACTGGACAACTTTTACACAAAATTAACAGAGATGCCACCATGCCCCTCAGTCCCACTTATTCACCAGGACAATTTACCCACCAGCTGATTGCACATGTCAAGGGATGCAGAATGGTTCCCAAGGCTCAGACTTTCATAAACCTTTGCTTCAGTCCCATGAAGCAAAGAGAAATTAGGCTTTATTCAGGCAAACCCCTCTAAGCTATGAGCCCTCATCACATCAAACTTTTGTCTCCCAGACTGAGACAAATGGCTGAGATAATTTTCCTACTGATTTCAGCAAGAGAAAGAGAGAGCAGAGGTTTTAATATAATGGTTGTGTGCTGACCTCAAGGGAGATCCCTGCACACTGAAAACATTTGAGAAGGCAACAGGACTCTGGAGAAATGGAGTAGTCAGGATTTGCACAAACAAATTCTACCATATGAGCAGGGCCAGGATGGAGAGAGGCCACAATAAAAGCACTCTAGGTATGGAGCCATATCTCAGGGCAATTGAAAACAGGCAGGCTAATGAAGATGCAAACAGATGCCACCTCACAATCAGTTCTATAGCCAATTTTGACTATATTAAAGGATGGGGCTCTGAGCAACCTGGTCTAGTGGAAGGTGTCCCTCTTTGGAAAGAGATGACCTTTAAGGTCCCTTCCAACCCAGGTCATTCTATGATTCTATGATATGCCTTTAGCATTCTTAGTCTTATGGCTGAAAAGCACAGTACATATATACAAAATCTACTCTCTGTATTTTTGCTCCTTGCATTATGCCTGGTTTATGTATTACACGTGTCCCATGCAATATGTAGTACATTCCAATATGCATCTCCTACACTATGATGCAAGGCATTAATGGCTGCCTTTGCTTTCGTACACATGCAGACATATGAATGCAGAATAAACACTTAGAATTAAAACAAGAAGGACTTTTCCTTGCAGGAAAATCTGCCAGTGGACTCTGAAAGCATCCATTTCCCTTTCTCACCTGCTGGCAGAAACATTCAAAACATTTTTAAAGTGAGGTGTAAGGCAGAGCTGACTGAAACAAATTAAATGGTCTGGGAAGCAAAACATGTATTTGAAGATAGAAATCTCTGGTCCCTTGGCAAACCTGGAGCTGCAGACCAAGCTATGCATATTTTGCATGGCTAGCAAAAATTGCTCTCATAAAACCAAGTGCAAAAACACTGCTGTCCCTCCTATCCTTGAAATACCAGGAACTGGCTAGGCCAGCAATACAGCAAAAGCATCTCTTCAGGGCTCGCTGTTTCTCCCCTCATTCAAAGGGTCTGGAGGATGCTGCTGGCTTTGTGCAGACAGCTTAGGGAAGTTTGTATCCGTGCCAGTCTCAGTTTCAAACGTTGACATGCTTGCCCTGGGGCACATTATGCCTGTGACTTGCTAAACCAGCACGATCCTCACACAGCACAGGTGCAGAGCTGTCTGTGGTCAGGATTCTTCTGCCACGTCAACAAAACGCCAACATGCAAACTTCCCTCAGCTACACAAATCACGGTTCAATTAAAAAAAGCAGAGGAGTCAACTGCTCTCACATGCCCGAATACAGAGCTGGGTATCTGAAGCACAAAGCACACCTCATTAAACGCTATTGTGTGAAGATGAACTCTGCAGATAACAAATGAATTTACTCAAACACGCCTTGCATCAGAAGGCACTTACCACTATGAAGATTAAGTTGGTACTATAAAAGCCAATTAACATCAGGGCACTGGCATAAATAAGGCTGAGATAAGCTCAAAACACAGAGAATCTTCACCAAGCCTGTTGACTGCGTTAAGCCTGTTTTTGATACATGATGTATGGTCACAAGCAGCAAAGAGCTTTTAGATCTATGCACCTTTGTTTTTTTTAAACACAAACCAGGAGGATCTTTTAGCATGCCAAGGGTTGCAAAGAAGGCAGGCATCTGCTTGCTGGCTTTCCCCTACAGCTGCAGAGCTCCCTGTGATCCTGGCTGCAGCGTTTCCATTATTCAAAGGCAATGGCATGGCAGGCGTGACTGATCCCAGCCAAGGGCACTGTGCTGGCACAGGGACTGAGAGCACGGCTCCAGCCAGATGTTTGTAGCCCCTTTAACTGTTTACTCTGCTGAATGCTTCTGCTGAAGTAGTGGCAAGGGCTTCTCTGCTGATGGAGTAACAAGACTTTGTTTCGGAGCAAATGTTGGATTAAAGCAGTCATGAAAAGCAGAGAAAGAAATGCACAAGGGAGTGGGGATGACAGCTAGCACTCCACGGAATAAAGCAAGAACATTTCTGGCCGCACACAGTAATGAGAAACAGCAAATCAGGCCAGAAGAGCCCATTATCACAATCATTCTGTTTACGGTATCACAATTCACAGTCTGGCATGTAAATGCTGAATAGATCCAGCTGCTTGTAGGAAGACAACTGTAACAGCAGCTTGCAGCTCCATGTCTGGACCCAGGACAACAAAACCCATCACACCTCTGTCAGCATTTTCTTCTCTTTATATCCCTGGTTATTGGGAGGAATGAAGTTGGAATATTTCATGGACTCCAGGTCTTCTGCTTCCAGGAATTCAGATTTGCTGAGGGACTGATTACTGTCCCCCTTCTTGGGCTCAGAGAAGGGTGACTGTTGCTGGCCACAGGTGACGTGGGTGTACTGGCACTGCTCTTCGTGGTCAGTCTCTCGGTGGTAGAAGTAGTTGAAGTTGGACACGATGACAGGGACAGGCAGGGCAATGGTGAGCACACCAGCAATGGCACACAAGGATCCCACAATCTTGCCACCAATGGTCATGGGATACATGTCCCCATAGCCCACGGTGGTCATGGACACCACTGCCCACCAGAAAGCATCAGGGATGCTGGTGAAGAGCGAGTCAGGGTCATCAGTCTCTGCAAAGTAGACGGCGCTGGAGAAGAGGATCACCCCGATGAAGAGGAAGAAGATGAGGAGGCCCAGCTCCCTCATGCTGGCCTGGAGAGTCTTCCCTAAGATCTGCAGCCCCTTGGAGTGCCTGGAGAGCTTGAAGATCCTGAAGACTCTGACCAGGCGGATGACTCTGAGGATGGCCAGGGACATGGCTTGCTGCTGCCCCCCATTGTTGCTGCTGCTCCCGGGCTGCTGCTTCTGCTGCTGCTGCTGGGCCAGCTCGGTGCCCAGGGTGATGAAGTAGGGGATGATGGCCACGATGTCGATGATGTTCATGATGTTGCGGGAGAACTCGGGCTTGCTGGGGCAGGCGAAGAAGCGCACGAGGAGCTCGAAGGAGAACCAGATGATGCACAGGGTCTCGATGAGGAAGAAGGGGTCTGTGAAGAACGGGCCGGAGCCGGCGGCGGGACGCAGGGGCGGGGGGGTCCCGCTGGGCGGCGGGAGCGGCGGCAGCAGCAGCGCCTCGTCCCCGAGCGGTGCAGCCTCCCCGAAGCCAGGCTGGGGGCCCTTGGGCTCCTGGCGGAACTCGGGCAGGGTCTCCAGGCAGAAGATGACGATGGAGATGAGGATGACCAGCACGGAGACGATGGCGATGGCCCGGGCCGGCCCGGAGCTCTCGGGGTACTCAAAGAGCAGCCAGACCTGGCGCTGGAAGTGGTGCTGGGGCAGGGGCTTCTCCTCCTCTTGGATGAAGCCCTCGTCCTCCCGGAAGGTCTCGATAGCCTCCTGGCCCAGCTGGTAGAAGCGGATCTCCTCCAGGAAGATATCGAGGGGCACATGGACCGGCCGGCGCAGCCGCCCCCCGGACTGGTAGTAGTAGAGGATGGCGTCGAAGCTGGGCCGGTTGCGGTCGAAGAAGTACTCGTTGCGGAGCGGGTCGAAGTAGCGCACCCGGCGGCTGGGGTCGCCCAGCAGCGTGTCGGGGAAGATGGAGAGGGTCCGCAGCTGCGTCTCGAAGCGCAGCCCCGAGATGTTGATCACCAGGCGCTCGCTGCTGCAGCAGCTGCCGGCGCTCCGCTCCTCGCCCGGCGCCTCCGCCTCCGCCTCGCCGCCCGCCCGCGGGGCCGCCAGCGCCAGCGGCTCCTCCGCCCGCATCCCGCCCGCTGTGCCCGGCGCTGCTGCCCTCCCCTGCCCCACCGCCTCGCCCCGCTCGCCTTCAGCGCTCGCCGCCCGCCGCCATCCGCCTGTTGCGCCTCGGTGCGGCCGCGCTCGCCCGGAGGCTCCGCGGGGCTCCCGGCGCGGCTCCTCCTCCGGCCGCGGGGAACCGCGCTGCTGCTCCTGCCACTGCTCCTTCCACTGCTCCTGCCGCTGCTCCTGCTGCTGCCGCCGCGCCCGGCTCCGCGCTGCGCTCCCCGCACACACAGACACAGGCACACACACAGACACGCGGGAGAGGGAGGTGCAGGAGCGCACACACACGCACGGTGTCACACACGGGGACAGGGGCACAGGCAGACGCACGCAGCCACCCGCACGGAGACACAGAGACACAGACACGCACGCCGCGCCAGCGCCGACACGCTCAGCTACAGACGGATGCGCGCACCCGCCGACGGGGGATGCTCGCCCCACCTCTCGCCCCGCCGCGGAGGACGCAGCAGCCCCAGCCCGCCAGATTTTGGGGGGAGACCCCCGAGGGGAAGCCGCTGGGGGATCGGCTGTCCGGCCAGGAGCTTCGCAACAGCTGCTCCAAAGGGCGGCACCGCCGCCGCCCTTCTTTCGCCCACCTCTCCCCCCTGGAATGCCGCCCTTGTCCCTTCAGGCAGAGCCCTGCCAGGGCTGTCCAACCCCGCCGGCTCCGGCAGGGCTCGGAGCTCAGCCGTGGGACCGGGCTGACCTCGGTGCTGTTCCCGTCCCCGCCGCAGGCTGGAGTTGACCTTGAGGCAGTCACTCCATGCCTGTGGCTCGCGGACCTCCATTTATAAATGTCATTGCCATGATGCAAGCACGACGGTGGCATCGGACCATCCACAGATGGAGACAACCTGTCACGGTAAGCAGTGCAACGGGGAAAGACACAGGTAAATGCAGTAATGCAGTTTATCTCCTCATTTGGAGTGGATCGAGTTTGCCTCTTTTCCCACATATCAAACACGTGAGCTTGCTCTTTTTTTTTTTTTTTTTTTTTTTTTTTTGGGCCAGCACATAGTCAGCACTAAGTCTAAGTCTCCCCAAAATCAGTATCTGCATTTTACAAGCAATCAGACCACTAGCTCTTTTGGCTTTAGAAGCCTGTGGCTTGCCCCGTCCCTGTCACGCTCAGCATTTGAAAGCGCAGAGAAACTCACGACACTGTACTTTCTCCTGAAACAACCCAAAAACCGGGCTAACAGGTGACTCTGCTTCCACGCTTCCCAGGACAAAAGTCTGTCTTTCCCTTGAAAGCCCTTTGTCGGTGCTAAATGTTATTAACCAGGCTTTTATCATCGCAGCATCTGATGCTTTTGCTGGCTGCAAGCCATGTGCTTAGCCTACACCATCTCTTAGCAGCACGGATCTAGAAGAAAACATTCCCCTTTTTACCCCTCCCTCCTCCCAGTCCCTCCTAACTAGCTGGCAATTCCTGGTTCAGGCTCTGAACATTTTGACCAGCTGATTATGGCTGCTTTCTCTGGCTCTGTTCTCAGAAAGGAGGTGAATATGATTTAAATGTCACTTAATCCCCTTTCCTTTCTTACTCATTAGTATTGAAGGCTGTTGCAAAAGAAAGCATATATTTTCATTTATGGGGAGATGCTGTCACACGAAGAAGCGTATTTTTTGTTTCATATTATGTATAATCTGGATATGGCAGCCAGATGAAAAAGACTTTCCCGGAGAATATACCTATTCTTTAAAAAAAAATAATTAAAAATCGATGTTTGCCTTTGTAATAGTAAAATGCTTCTTGCTGAAATTTCTTTTTCAATTATTACAATGAATTATTCATTCCCAGGATTATTTGAATCATAATTATGATTTATTCATTCGCAGGGTTAACTATTGGGAAGTCCTTGCAAAACAGCTTTCGGGCGGGATGGAAAAGCTCCCGAGCTTTCTAAGAGGACGCACAGGGCATGTCTACATGACGGAGCTCATCCTGTGCTGCGTTTGAAGGAGCAAGCTTCAGTCAGCAGAGCAGAGGCAGCGCGGAGCTCCAGCACGCTTTGCAGGACCATTTTCCAGCCCACGCTGACATTCCAGGCTGCCACAGCTCCAGGCAGCCGAGGCGCTCCCTGCATCCCTTCCCTTCGCACCCTCCTGCCACAGCCCAGCTCCGAGCAGGCACCCGGGCTGCTCTGCACCACCTGGGCTTGCTCCTGCCAGCCCTTCAGGAGCCGCTGTCGCTGCTTTGGTGCGCTCACAGCTCCCCTAAGCCCGGTACTAAAGGCAGGAGCCCTTGCGGTGTGCAGCGCACCTCTCGTCAGCGCGCAGCCGGCTCCGCCGCGCCTGGGCAGCCACACCCCGCACTGATATATTAAGAGGCCATGCCAGCTGCCACAAATCACCCTCCGTGCAGATCCTGCTGGGCCAGCAGCTCCCGATGGCACACGGGTTGCAGAGCTGGAGGCAAGGGAGAGGCAGAGATGTCGGGAGGGACAAGAACAGTGCTCCCAAAAGCCACACTGCTGCACCATACCGCTCCCTGGAGAGAGATTTGGGTGCTGGCTCTGAAGCCAACACCACAAGGCCAGTGCCATCTCGGGGTGCCACTAAGCTCCTCTTTGAGGCAGTGGCTGTGATGGCATCTCCAAGCTCAGGTCTGGCACCTCGCTGTAGTTCAAGAGTTTATGATGACCATATCCTCCTGAAGGCTGTGTTGGGTATTAATGCCAAGGTGCACAGAAATTCCTGCAGAGATTCATGGGGAAAATCTGACCAGCACAGGACACCCAATTCTGGGCTCTCATCCTACTCCAAAAACTGGAGGGACATTGTCCTTCCAGGCCTGGTCCATACAGGCACTGCCAATCTGCAGCACAGGAGTTCAGTTTCAACCATTCCCTTGGATGCACCCCCAAACAGGGCTCAGCATTTTGGGTAACACTGCTACCCTTTGGATTTCCTTTAGCTCCTTTTGCAGGATTTGATGTGATCAGCACTGCAGCTGCCAGAAAGTTGTGTCTGTGTAGCATTTTCTCAGGAAAGCCAAACGCAGAGACCCTCACTCCAAAACTAAGATATCCCAAGTGGGAATCCAAGTTTGAAGCTAGGGCATGCACAACTTCTTAGCCACCTCCTCGTCTTCCTGCATTTTCCAGTTACCCCATCATGTCCTGAACTTTCCAATTCCCTCCTCCATGGCTCCTGTGCTACCCCTATCTTCTGCTTCCCACATTCAGGTACTTTTCCCAGTTATGGAGCTTCTCATTCCTATAATCCTACTACAGTTTCTTCACTTGCTTGCAACCCAGTAGCAAAATAGTTTTCATATCCGTTTTCCCAAACTCCTTTTAGGGCTGAAGGCTGCCCAGTCAGTGCTGGAGATGCTGGCTGACCACTGGGCCTTGCTCATGTGACATCTTGTAACACTCACCTGCATCCAATAAGGAAACAAGAAGAGCACCTTCCACACATGCAGTGTATTTTGGTGATCAATGCACCTCTAAAATCATCCATCAACACCTTAATTCACAGCCTGGGAGGCACAACAGAACCTCCCACAGGCTGGAGGCCCTGGGGTAGGATTCATTTCCCAGGAGCCAAAATATTCCACACATCAAACAAATCCCCACAGTCTAAAAAGAGCAATAGACAGGGAAAAAAATTTAAAAATGCAATAGCTGGCAGAGCATCCCTATTTGAAATGGTAATTTACACTTATGCACAGTACCAATTACAGCCAGCTTCATACTTCCCTTCTTACTCAGAGCCATAAATCTATAAATGAAAATGAGAGTGCTGAACAGGGGAGGGAAGCAGAATTAGCTTGAGCCCTGGAGCTGTTAGGCATACCACTCGGAAACAGGAGTTTTCCTTGTTTGTTCTCTCACCAGAAAGCAGGAGAAACCTGAAGGATGTTTATTAACATCCTTCCAGGCATCAGAGAATCAACTGCTGTGGCATCAAATGTTCATGGTCAGATCCCTGAGTGCCTTCAGCCTCTTTATTCTAGTCCAAGTGAAGGCCTGGGTTTGAAACATTGCTCTGCACCTCACACTATGCCAGACTCACTTAGGATAGGAAAGAGCAGTGATTTCACTGCATATGGCAATGAAACCTTGGCTTTCCTATTTGTTTTACACTCCAAGAGGGAAGAAAATGCACAAAGAATTCTCAATTTGTCTAACTGCAGATCTCAAAGCACCAGGCAGCAACAAGGTGAGGAGGGTTGGGGCACCTAACAATATCCACGTATCCATCATAATTTCATGCATGACCACAATGAGCAGAGATAAAATAGATCCCAGTTTTCTCAAAATAGCAGTAACCCTGATTATTCTCTGCTGGAGAATCATCCATGCCAGTCCTAGAATCATAGAATGGCCAGGGTTGGAAGGAATCTCAGGACCATCCTATTCCAAACCCCTGCCATGGATGGGGGGACCATCTTCCCTTAGCCCAGGTTGCTCAGAGCCCCATGCAGCCAGGCCTTGAGCAGCTCCTATCCTGCCCTTTGAAAAGGGTGCTTGTGCCACTGCTGACTGATGGAGGAAGAATTGCACTTTTGTGAAGGTGACAGTCCCATTCCCTGGATCAACCTGGACTATCCCTGGAACACTGTCCTTTCTGTGTATTGAATGAGGGCAGGTTTTTGTACTGGCAAAAATATATAATGGTATGACTAAAGATTTTGTCACAATACTGGGAGAAATGGAGGAAGGGAAGACTAAACAGGTTGTACCAGAAACCTTCACACAAATATTTCCTAGCTTTCAAGTACTTCTGTTAACCTAAAGTACCTTTTTGTTTGTCTTGGCTTTTCCTCCAAAATTCTATCTATAGATGAGTAAGTTTTAAACCTTTCTTTTAAAATCCCTTAAGTATTTCCGATGCAAATATGTTGGGTTTTTTTTTCAGATGACCTTTCCCAGAGAGATGCTATCGATGTCTTTCAGGGGCTTCGTGTTTCTGTTTATCACAGGAGGAAAAACATTCTGGGATGTCATGGTGTC